CTTGTCCTCCCATTGGTTCCTCTGGTCAGGTGTCAGCTAGGCTAGGTTAACTTCTTAACCCTTTACAGGTAAAAGAGGCATTAACCCGTAACTATCTGTTTATGACAGGAGGACACTGGAGTCTGAACCCCAAGAGTTCATCTGGAAACAAATACAGTAAATTCTGTGGAAATAAAAAGTGAAACAAAAAGAAACTTTGGTGATCCATCACTGAGAGCAGGTCTACACTTAAAACACTGTGGCAGCACAGTTGCACTTCAGTTAGGACACTACTACACCCACGGGAGAGCTTCTGTCAGCATAGTTCATTCACCTCCAGGAGAGGTGGTAGCTATGTCAACAGGAGAAGCCCTCCTGGCGACATAGCGCTGGCTACACTGGGGGTTAGGCTGGAATTACTGTCGCTCAGGGGTGTGGATTTTTCACACCCCTGAGCCACATAGTTATATTGATGTAAGTTTATAGAGTAGACCTGGCCCGAGAGAGCAAAGAGAACTGTGTCTTTGGATCCATGTTTTGGACCCTGGCCTGGAAGGGACTGGTAACTGAGACAGGTAGCCAATCGATATTCATCTTACCGGAGATATTCTTTTTGGATTAATTGCGGTAAAACTAAAAACTCTACTTCTTTGTTCTGTTACAAATTACTGAATCTCTTAAAACATTTCTTCCTAATTTAAACTGTCATATTTTGACAGCAGTTTTAAATGGTCCTGCATTATTGAGAGCTTTCAAATTAGGGAATAAAATACCTGCAATCTGATTTTGTCCATCTTGCGAATGTGCAGGACAGCAGGGGGAGCATGAGACATAGTATTTGGGCCCCTATCTTGCAACTGATAGTTGAAGTATTCTGTGTGTTCTTCAATAGGTATTCTGGTATAATTTAGCTAATAGGTATAATTCCCCTTTGTTGTCACTATTCTGCAGTAAAAGTGACTTTAGTCTGGAATAACTACTCTGCTTTGGACACAGAGTAATTATTCAGGAATAAAATTACTTATTTTGGAGTAGAGTGCCAACATGGTAAATTATTCAGGAATAGATATTTGCTAATGCTGTGCTGGTCAGATGTCTGTAGACAAGCCCTTAGAGGGGGTGACACAGATGCAAGGGATCACGCGTTTGGTTGGGTACGGTTGCCGACTCAGATCCCTATTATACACTAAAGTGATAGGAGCCTTAGAGCTTAAAGCTCACTCTCCCTCTGACTTTAATCAGGTCATTAAATATAATTGTTTTGCATTCTTTTAACTTCTTGTAAGCTGGGTAGGTTCTGGGTTAAGTCTGTCTAGATCCAGACCTATCCTTTTAACTTCCAAATATTCAGCATGATAGAAACCAGACAGAACAGGCAGTCTGTTTATATAAAATTGAAAAATAAACATGAGTATCTGTTTAGTGACTTCGCTCTTTGTATGCTACCCCACTTGAGATTTGGGATTCTAAAATATTAATTTGTACTTGAAAACAAAATTGCAGTTCTACTCTCTAAAGTGTTTTAAAACAATTCACTGTGGGGTTCCACAGTTTCCAAAGGACTACGGTTACTTTTGTGCAGTTTGAGTATAAAGATACTGTTTTTCTAAGTGCTAATCATGTAAACTCTTAACTTGGATTTGAAAGTCCTGTTGTGTACTTTCCTCCTTGCAGATTGATTCTGGTAATAAAGATTCAACTACTAGGATTAACCATGTATAACTGAGGTTGTTTGGAACAGAGTTAACTATTCTGGATGAGTTTATGGATCAGCCAGAACTGAATCCAGCTTGCTTGTGCAGCTGTGTTGACTTTCAAGTGCTAACAAGAATAAAAAGGACTACAAATAGGCTTGGCAGAATTCAATTTTTATTTTTTATAATTTTAACAGATATTGGTTTATTTTAAGATTGTTTTTATTTATTTAAATTTTCTTGGTTGCACATAATTAGAGGGTCTAAGCATTTTTAATTTTTTTTATCAGTTTAAATTTTCACAGTTGTGGGAACTTAGGAGAGTGGGGTCAGACAATGGGAATCTCACTATAATTTAATATCAGTAAACATTAACAAATAGTTTAAAAGCTTTCTATAATTATACTATGACAGTAGACATTGAGATTCAAAAACTTAAAAGCTTTATAACTGTTAAAACACAAGTTGTCAACATTGTGTCAACATTTACAAAGCAAATATCGATAAATCAAACACTAATGACTAAGTTCTCAAGCAACAGTTTTCTTACGTTGCCTACCTGTAAATTTTGATTACCATCAATAGAAATACTTTTTCGTTGGTTTGTATGAATGGTGAACTGGACATTTACCAATAATCTAATCTTCCCAAACCTAAATATAAACTTATTTTTGGCCCTAAAGTAAGTAGACAAGATTTTGAATACACAGAGGGAACATATTTTTGATTGTGTAATTTATACAGATACTTTTCAAAGTAGAACCACCCTACTAAAAATAACTAATGAATGTGGGAAACATGAATGGTGAAGACAGGTGTGTTCCACACCAGTTTTGGCAATTGTTTCATTTAGTGTTATCACAAATTGCATTATTTTGTCTTTAAGATAATAGAAGAGTTTGTGAAGTCCCAGAATTGATACCAGTAATCATAAAAAATAATACAACTTAAAAATGAGTTGGCAAAAATCAAACAAACCCAAGCCACACAAATTTTGTGAAAGGTCCTGATCTCATTAACATAATACATTATTATACACTAGGGAACTAAGCAAAAGACTGACCACAGAATACATGGATATTGCACTAGTACATGCTAAATTAGAAATATCTTTTGAGTCAATGAAAAAAATCCATAT